CACAGAGTTAATGCACCAGTGGAAGTGTTTCTAGTAACGCCAAAGAAAGTAAAGTTTAACACAGCAGTCTTCCATCAATATTTACAAATTTGCTCATGGTAATAATTTGAAGTACGTGTCCCTTGCAAATAAAACATGTATATACTATCTTTGCAGTAAGAGAACTGCAGAATTGTCTTTATGGAATCTGTGTATATCACAGGTACAGGCAAACAACTTAATGAATTGAACAAAGAACCTTTTGCCCATTCTGGGAATCTGAATTTGGAATGTCAGAACTTCTGTAACAAACAGCATGATAACCTAGTACACTTCCAACCTGAAACAATACTACGTAATTAAATGTATCTAGAATGCAGAATCATTGGTTTCCATTTCATGCCCAAAACCACAATGAGTTAATATCAGAAAGCTACTTTTAGCTGTGATCTGAACATTTTTTCATCAGAAATTCATGGCAAAAAGGAAACTGCTTCTACCTCTTCACTGGTTTTATAAGATGAATTAAGAACATTATCCACTTGAAGTGTACATATTCCACATTCTGAGAATGAATGGCTTGTCATAAGTTCAAAGCCTTGCTTCAAACAGTAGAAATGCTACTCATATATAACATAATTATCCAGGAAGTAAACACTAAACCTGAATAGTAATATGAATTGTATACAGACTGGATTATAGGTGTGTTCTGTGGATAAACACAACAAAACATTTGAATACTGCCAATTTACATGTACATATTTAAAATACCAGTATTCTGCTTGAAAATACAGATATTCAAACCAGAAAAAAGACCTTGCATGACCTGAAAGGAACAATAACTTAGTTGAACCACCAAAACACATGTAAATGCACAACATCCTTGGCACTTTCATTTTATGTACTTCTCGCAGGAATGGAAAACATTTCAAGAACACATAATTACTAATTGAAACCAGTTTTAAATTAACAATTTTGGCACATTAAAAAGAAATCTGTAACTACTAACTAAACAAGAGAATCTTTTCTGTATTTAGTCAAATCTTCAACACCATCTACACTTATTTGTATCCCAATTAGTCCAAGCTCTTAAGCCCCTATGTTCCAAACCTTACAGAGTGCAAGATACAGTAGACTCTCATTTATGAATGCTAATGGTCAGGTTTCTTAACATGAGAGACTAAAAGCAAGGTTAGAACAAGCCAATGCAAAAACAGCCTGCATAAGACTATATCAGCGTTTTAACAAAACAAAGCGCACACAAACAGAAATGGAGTAACTGTACGTTTCAAAACTGCAAGTGCATATATAGTTTGATTTGTCTCCTCTCTCCCCTTACTTCTTTAACTTTAGAAGACTGCATGGGACAAACATGTAAGAACTTTTTATCACATAATGATAAATTAGTGATGTGCAATCCAGAAGACTGATTCCAGGAGAAAGCATTAGATTTGCTATTGTGACTGATAAAATAAAAAGATATATATCTTCTTTACTTAAAACACCCATAAAACTAAGTACTTAAACAGCATGTATCAATAAGCAATTAAAGAGTCTAAAACCCTGTTTAAAATTTCCACATACAGCCATCCCAGTGCCTTTTGTATTATTGTAGACTTTCACAATGTTAAAAACAATGACAAAATGTTGTCATTAAAATAATAAAATATTAATTCACAAATTACAACTTTGCTCCTTTAAATAATTTTGCAAAAGTGTATCACATGAATTACTAAAATCATAACTCATGCTTTATTGCACATCTTATATTTTATATATAAGAATTTTATGCTGCACACTTTCATCAAGATTGAATGTATCTTGTGTATATTCACAAATATTGTCAGATTTAACAGGGCCGAACTGAACCAAAGCTTAAGGGTACAAATAATCTGCATGTAGCAAAGCATTCAAGAATAGTACATGCCTCATGAAGCACAGGTAAGTATTTATTTCTTTACCATATCAAGATCACGCTACCATCATATTTCATGAATGAAAAAGCCTACTGGAACAAGTGGCACTACTGACATATGTGGAGATGCCTCTATCATGTTCATAAGAATTAAAATTACATATGATACTTAAGCAAGCTTCTCTGTTTGTTGGTAATTTTCCAGGGGTGCTGATATCTCACACCAAGACTACATAACACACTGATAAATGAGAGTGTACTGTACTTCTGTAGACATGTTTAGCGTAATACTAGTTAAAATAACCAAAACATCCTGATAATAACCCACATATATATGGGCAAGTAGCACCTACTTAATATGACATAATTATCATATGCATCAACAACCAAGTATGAAATGATATTTATATATTTTGTTTCTGCACTGAACAATATACTGCATGGTAATCCAATATCCAGATATTATGAATGATACTGATAAGTATGCATACCACATAGCTTGAGGATAGCACCACTTGCAGCAGCTAATTTACTTTGATAACATGTTTTGTAAGTAATCAAAGTGGCACCATTCCTTATAGCAAAATTGGAAAACCTTGTCTTGTAGATGTACACTACACATAAATGGTGGGCAATATCGGTCAATATTTTATTTTGGTACACATTAACTGTCTGAAACACTGGAGTAAGATCTGTCTGTTGTATTGGTTGTTGCTTCATAAACATATTCAAATCTGATGATCACTTTGAGGGAGACTGGTGAGCTGAAGTGGCTGGTAAGTGACGATGTTGGCATTGAAGAAACTGACAGCTGGTATGTCAGGGTAGGAACTCCACATAATTTTCAGGAACAAGACCTGTCTTCCCATTGAGTGTCCCTTCCAACCAACCAGGTTCCAGTGATGGTCGCACTGGAAGATACAACAGTAATATGGATGTCTAGACACTTTTACAGTCTTACGGTTCTCTCTTATTTGTACAAAAAATAAGCCTGCTATACAACTTTAATTATTTTCTGAGCCCAGTTAAAAACAGAAAGCAAGCAATAATTATTTTTCTTCCAGCACAAACACTGACCTCTACAACATAGACTGTAAATACTAGAATTCCCACTTCCTTTAAATTTAGCCATCTTATGAAAACTTACCATTTGTTATTATCTGATTAGGTTCAAATGACAGCTCTCCATCATTTTCTCCCAAACATGCATACAATGTCCGTACTCTTCTGTTGGGGAAAGAGAGAACAAGATTAATATAATTTATGTTCCACATAAGCATTATTCCCAGTAACTATTTATCTTATTAATTAAACTATTTTAACAGTGCTTTCAGTATCTAGATTATACATCACTGGATGAGAGGATGAGAGTGAGTAATGAATTGGAAAGGATGTGGAAGTGGTTGTGGCCTAATTTAAGGTACTATCCTGACAACTACCTGGAGGGTATGAGGAAAACCACAAGAAAATCAGATAGGATAGCTGGTCTCTGAGCCAAGACTTGAACACAGGAACTCCTGAATATGAAGCGAGAGAGCTAATCACTCAATTATGACATCTGGATAACTATTCATATTAAATGGTACTGATACTTCAAAGTGGTAAAAGACAGTAGTATGTAGCATGTTTACAATGGGTTATAAAACAATAAAGATGCAGTGAGAACACTTAGTAGCACACAATCCTGGGAAACATACAGAGAAGATAAAGTTATAATCTTCATGTGGAAAAAATGCAGTTTACATTTCAACAGTTGCACTGTACACTTTCTGACATTCTCTTTCCAGTGTTTTACTGCGCATGCAATTTGTTTCACATCAAATATCAACATATCTCTATGTCCAGTAAAAGCAATACAATATCTCAAGCCAAACATAAAGCTGCAAATTTCAAAACAATTGGTAACAACACAGAAAAATAAAATCCCACAACTTAATGCATTCAACAGTACATATAAATAGCAGTGCATAAAAAAGTTTCACTTCATAAATATGCATTTTAGGCCATTCTGTCATCTTTTTAAATTACCTTCAATCTGCACAACTGTGTAAATTACTTCTGTCACAACCTGACACTTTTGCTTTTCTGCATGCTGATGTGCTCTTATGAAAAACTGTGCTTTTTCACAGCTCACTTATTACTGGTAACTTAAAATAAATAGTTTCTAATTATACTAAAAGTAAACATAAAATTTTCCTTATACCTAAGTGCCAAGAAATGGTATACAGCAGATAAAGGCAATACTCCACATATTCTAGACCATGGCACTACATGGAGGTGAGTGATCAGTTTCAAACTCTGGACGCTTTACTCCCACAGGAAGAGCCTTTGGTACCCACTGGACAAGAAACAGGGTGGATCCAGATGTAGCAACAAAGATAAAAATCCCTGCCTCTGCCAGGAATCAAATCCCAGTCATTCATCCTTTACTTACTCCTCTTACCTCTTTGATTCTTTGTAATGAAGAAGCCCTTAATACAATATTGCTTTGTCCTTGTAGTACATGCGTAATATTTCTAAAGCACAAATGTTCTTGTTTGAATGCATGGCATTATGGGAGTTCTGTTTGCAATGGAAATTATAATACTAAACAAACTCACAAGTCACTTATTATGCAAGTACGGTAAATACATGGTACTATACAATATACGAAGTAAGCAGAACACACCGATAAAAATAAATTATAGGATGTTCAATGTGAAAAGATGTAAAAATGTTTGTGATATCTAGTAACATACTGCTACAAAACTGTAAAAAAATCAACAATATAAGTACTAGTAAACTGAAAATTTGCAACATGCAGGATAATCAGGGCAAAGAAGGTGGAAGGATAAATTATAATTGAAAGAAGAGTGGAAAGATGTATGCTCACAGCATCAAAATAATTGTATACAATGAAACCAAATTTCATACAAGTTCTTAAATTCCTATTATTGTACAAAAAATTTGTAAATCACTCAGAACATTTACTTCACATCATTTATAACTTTTATCAAAAAAATTTCCTTCGATGCAATTTGAAAAAAGATAAACAGTGAAGTTCATACCAAAGAAAGGTATAATCAGATGACCAAGCACAAATTCATATCTTGACACAAATGTCTAGAAAGGCATATGAATGTGTGACAAAAAGTACCCAGGAATTTAAAATTGTGAAAGACATGGTTGGATTTCAAATGTACAGAAACAAGGGTAACAAGTGCCGAGACAAGGAGTGGCAGCAAGGCATTCTTCACTGTATACAAAACTGTAGAGAATGCCTACAAATTTATTCTAAAAGTTACATGTTCAAATCTTTCCACCCAATTGTTTCAATATAACATGTATGGAAGCAGCAACAGGTACTGGAAGAATACAAGGGGCGAAAGTTATTCTCACCTGACACCTGGGGTGGCAGGACTTGACCTACCACTGGCTGTTGAGCTAGAAGACTGTGTCATCCTATTGAGTAAAACACACAATCATAACTGAAGTTTCATTCCCACAATGAAACGTTTTCCTGCTGTTGTAAATTCTGATCTTATTACAAAACGTAAGTCTCATTGCCTTTTTCAATTGTGGAGATGATAAAATGTGATTGTAAATGGTGCATAAATAAATATTTTTGGAAGCCTTGCAAGGCATCCACAAATGTCCAGACACTACACATTCACCCTAAAGATAATAAATGGATGTTTACAAAAAAAAAATGACAATTCTCAACATTTGACACAGCTCTCCCTTGCAAGTCAAAGTTACTCCTTTTTTTATAATAATTCTTCATTTCAAGAAGTTATTATCCTTCATTTGGGAGAAAAACTCAACAGACGTTGGTCTTCATAATATTCCATCAGACATACCATTGAGGATACAGAGAGCATGAGGATGGCTGCATTCTTCAAATGTTTGTAAGTAATTCAATTTTTGATATGTCAGCACCCTTTCACGTTGTAAATGGTATCAAAAACATTTGGCCATAACATCAGATATACTTATTAAAATATCAGTGACATAGCTAAAGATAATGAGGAAAATAATTTAACCATAATACCACATACAACTGCAGAAATAGAAGAGAAAAAGAAAGAAACTTATACTTACACAGCATCATGTGCCCGGTAGCTAGTTGCATAGTGAGTTCCCAGGACATTGCCTACGTAAAGAAAATGAGTACATTACAATACACCGTTCAGATTAATCACCTATATTAAATGGATGCCAATCAGGTTCCCCAATATCACATACATAAATCATAAATGGAGTACATCACACCTAATTTTCATTTATCCTCTTTAAAACTTGTGTTTATTAACTATTTCATGATCAACTCAAAGATGCTTCATTGCTTTTTGATAATGACACAAGAAGATTTATTATGTTGTGATTACTAACTATTACTAGTACACTTTAATTTAACAAATGTTTTAACTGTTATGGAATTATACATGAAAAATTCGAAAGAGATACTGAATACAAATTTCTCATCATGAAGGTTTCCTATTGGATGTAACATTTTATAGTCATATAAAAGGTGGCATATAATTAATCATCCCATTTTATATAACTGGAATTAGGCTATGGTATTTTAATAATAAACTGGGAAGCAAGACTTCTTCAGTACTCGTCACTTACCTCGTTTGCTCTTTTGAGGAGAGATAGCAGAGTAATTATTGTGATTATTAATATCCCGTACTGACTGAGAAGACACTGATTCATTGGAACTACTAGTGCCACTATTGGTCGGGTCTGTCCGCTCAGAGTTGCCTGAAGAACAGAAAGAGCTATGCATTTTTAACACAAAGATACAATTGCTGTAGCAGATGCAATAACAGAACTTCTTCTTTGTAACATGTTTCCACTTTAATTGGGTTCCGTAACAGACATATCTTTCCATCTATCTCTGTCTTCCCACAACTCCTCCTCCTCAAATTCTTCCCATCATCTTCCTTCTGTGTGACATAATTTCTTACCTGCTGATCCCATCTTGATCTCATTCTTATTACTACGAACACACTATGACTGGAAATGGAAACTTTAAAAATCCTGAACTGTTGTTAAGTCCTAAACATATTGTGACCGGATATTATGAGATCGAGAATTTGGAATAGTTACAATAACAAATTAAAGAGATTAACATTTCTACAATATAATCAAACATATAATAACACTTCCAAATCAAATTCCTGAAACCTGCAGTATGGAATTTCTTATAGGCATTACAGCCTATATAAATAATTGTAAGTTATCAATAGATTAGCAAATGAAAGTATCTTGGAGAAGAAATGCCAAAGGGTTCTTACAGTTTGTATAGATTTTGGATTTACTCACCCATGTTTCCAAAGAGAAAAGCATTTTTATGCTGTACATGATGCTGAGGACTGTATCTATGCTGCTGAGAGCCAAGGGCCAACAGATTGCTCTCTGAGTAGGCCCCCATGCTGCCCTGAGGTCCACCTCTCATCCCTCCAGCCACCTTCTGATTGGGCAGCAAGAGGTGTTGCTGCTGTCCTGTGTTGTTCATGTGCTCTACTCGGCCCATAACATAACCTACACCATTACCTTCTCGTTCACGTACTGGTGCCACATTGTGTAGACTAGAGCTAAGGCTTATTGGGACAGGTCCATCATAATAAGACTTGATTACAGCCTGTATTAAGTAATAAAATAACATTAATACAAATGTAGAGATCATTATTCAAAATAATCTACATTAGTTGTGATAATGAAACTTTAAATTGAATGTGCAAGTAACTTTAAAGATCATCAAAGTGTACACAGAAATTCCAAATGTGATATATTACAAAGGAAAGGACTACTCTTTATTGATGTAAATAAAATTTTTAGACACAAAGTTCATGATGCCCATAATAAGATACCTATTATATCTTGAAGCCTCCTAAATAGCTGAATATTGTCTTTAAAAAATTAAATGTTATTACAAATTAATTACATATAGGTTTAGACAGAACTGTCTTTAAAATGACTTGTCAAGATTTGCTTCATAATCAAGTGAATAATAGAATTAAAGAAGGCCTCCAGTGACCACCGTTTTTGAAATCAGTTAAAACATCTCCCATATCCCTCTTAAGTTTACTCAAATTCTTAACAATGGAACACATAATTGCATCTGCAGAATACATACATGTTGTACAGGTGGGCCACCAGATGGGTAAAGGTTGAACTTTTGTGGACGTGAATGTAAAGGTGGTGATGGAGTGGTCTGAACGTGATTCTGTACTGGCGGACTGTTCACTGACGGAGAAGAACGAGCTTCTGGTCGAGAAGGATCAACTTGTTCTGGTGATGTTTTGAAGATCTAAAAAGACCATATATGAGGTCTGATAAATAACCAAATTGAGGTTTTGTGAGCAGCCACAAAAGTGATGAAAAGAGATGGAATATGTTGGATCTCATGACTATGGCAGTCAACAAGATTTTAAAATTTCATGTTGAACAACTATTGGGATTCAGTTTGTTTCTCTCGCTAAGATGGGGGGGCCAGAATTATGTTGAGTAAATAAAATATTGCAGGATTTGAGGTTTTCATGGCAGTGAGTCTGAAGATGGCTGTCTTCTGAGTTGTTGCGCCATGTAGTCTGGTAGAAGTTTACCGATGTTTCAGAGGTCCTTGCTGTCTCCATCATCAGGGCAATGAGCCTGATGATGGAGGCATCAAGGACCTCTACCAGACTACACGGTGCAATAGCCCAGAAGACATCCATCTTCAAATATATTATTACTAAAAATTCAGTTTGTGGCTTATCAAATACTTGGTATTAAATAAGAAGAGAACTGAGCATCAAGCACAGAAACACAATGCAAAATAATCCCACCTTTTCATAGTTTTCGATGAGAATTTCCACAACAACATTACAGAACTTAATATCCATTATGGCAGCAACAGTTTCTTCCTCTGGACGCAGCAATGTAGGGCCAAAACACACTCCCAGGTTGCTCACTGTCATAAGATTCTTATCACTCTTTGCTGCAACACTGCACATAAAATGCACTGTCTTAATGCCACTGTAACGGCATTACATCTTTTATAATGTAAACATTCATAGCACAACTCTTTATTCATGCTAAGTGACAATTTCGATTAATAAAGGTGTAAAAACACTGGGTGGCAACAAGAGACAAGACTATCCAGAAATCTCATATACATTATTGAAACTTAAAGAATTTGGCATTACTTTATTCCATTCAGGTTAATTTCAAAGAATACTCTTAACATATGATTTCAAACATTTATTCCTCTTACTTTTATTTACTTGCGTTTTCCTGTTATTTTTGTTATTGATATTCTTCCCATTGCTAAAGAATGTTTGCATAATCTACTACTTACTGATGGGCTTCACAATTTGCATGTGACTACTTGGAAACTTAAATTACAGAAGTAATACAATTCCTTCAGCAAAGGACAAGTGAAGCTAACACAGACTGCGTGTTGAGTGTTTAAAAATACATTGCAGTTCCAGTAAAACTGCTACATGATGCTCTCTTACAAGTAAAAAGGGCAATTAGGCAATACAGATGTGTAGCAATGTAAATGGTAATGAATTGTTTTTAATTGGCATACTCCACAGCATAAGAATGGCTTGCATGCAGACCAAGAAAACCTATGTATGGTTGCATGGCAAATTTAAGCAGTAAACAGGTACAATTCCAACATGAGACGGTAAAGTTACTCACTTCTGTAAGTGCTTTATAATAATATCCAGCATGTCACGATTCTGTTGCGGAAGCCTGTGGACGAGGGTATGAACATCATGCACCCTCAATGCTCTTGTCTCTTGTTCTGAAAATAGTAGAAAACAGAATCTAAAACAATTAATTACTCCAAATACAATGTGATCCCAGAAATCTATTTTCTATCTTAGAGAGGGTGGAAGATAAAATAAGCCTAAAAGATGCATAAAAAATACCGACTACATGTATACGTGTACAACATTTTAACTGATTCAAATAATTGACTTCAGACTTAAGAGTCATACTTCAAATCTCTTAAAATGTAATGTTTGTGTCATGCATATAAAATCCAAAAATTTCAAAGATAATTCATTTACACATTTCATTTAAATTGATGCTGCAGTAGAACTCCAGTATCCTGAAGGTAAATAATGCTACATCCATTGCTCAATCTTAAGAAAGAAAGAAAGACTTAACATTTTCATCATACTGAACCCACCAACTTTCACTCACTTTTCTATGTGGTCAACATGCTGTGACGCAGATAGCATAGCTCAGTCAGTTTTGAGACTAGGCTACAAGCTGGATAACCAAGGTCTGATTGTTGGTATAGCAGAATTCTGTTCTTAGCCACAACATCCAGAATGGCTCAAAGGACCACCAAGCCTCTTACAAAATTGGAACTAGGGATCCACTAAAGGTGGGTAATTATCTTGAGTCAGTGACTGACTACCTTCTCAAGGACGACTCTGTCCCACGGAGTGAGCTAGTTGATTAGCAATTAAATTAATTTACCTTTGTTATGTATGATTTCAAACACAGTTTCATATGCACATGCGTATAAGGAACGTGTTGAGAGAAACTTACTGGCTGCAGCTATAAAACCGTTGTGGTAACGGAATGTCATCAGAGGTTCTGGAAGGTTTCTCAAGTAAGTCTTCAGGGAACTGGTAATAGTTTTGCTCTCCCATTCAAAGTGATCATCCAGAGCACTTAGTTTGTCTGCTTTCCGCCGGTCCAGGCCCATTGACAGCAGTTTCGATACTTTGGAGCTGACTCCTACTACTCTGTACAGACCCTGCTCCTCGAGACCTGCGGACAAAGAATGAGCATACTAGAAAGTAAAGAGTAAAATTTTGAAGCAAAAAAAAAAAGAAGATAAGTTTCAATATCAGATTCAATCAAAATCCATTCATGCAAACATAAACATTTTTATTTTGTTTATAGTTCTGAAATATAACAATGTGACACTGCAAAATTTTAATGTAAGAGATACCTCTATTTTCCAGCACTTCAATACATCGCTTCACAAAATTGAAGCCTGTTTCATCCAGGTTCCTCTCTTCAGGTTTTGGTATCTTGCCTGGCATGGCATAGGTCTATAATAATAATAACAAAAAAGTTAAATGTATCCAAATTTCAGTCAACAGATAATATTGTAGTTAAAAGTTCCCAAAATAAATCCACAAGCTCCATCCATTATTCTGTAGGATTAGTTTTATTAATTAATCTATAGGCTCATTCATAACTTAAACACATGAACAAGTGCCACCTATTTACACACCAGAAGAATTGTGCAGCAAGCAAGAAGCACCTCTGTTCCAGAAAAGAACATTCAGTTAGTAACAATAGCCTTCAGCACCTTACCATAGCAAACAAAATTTAAACAAGGTTAATATAAAAACAAAACAACATTAAAGTCAAAAAGCGTTTTTTTCCTGCTCAACTGCTAAATCAACGTACAAAATACGAAAGTGAAGAAAAATTTAGATGCTTCAGACATCAAGAAGTGAGCAATTCCACAGTGAAAATGAGTGCAAGCCTGAAATAAAAATTATGTACAACACTGGTGTACACATATTTCTCAAAAGCATTATCTGGCTATTTTTCATTCTTCAATGTTCATGATCACTTACTGCGGATAAAATATCTAGACACGATACTCTATGATCAGGAATTAATTTTCCTTTTACTTCATACAAAGCTGACTATATGAAAAAAGTACAGGATAAAGTTTTATTCTTAATTAGATCTATGCACATAACTTGTTTGAATGATGAGGCATTTCTGAGGAAATTGAAAAAAAAATGTGTTATTTGTACAGCGTGTAAAATTAAGATTATGTTTGAACTAAACTGTACTTAAAAAAAAAAAACTAAATTTGACTGACAATATTTACTGTGGACGTTCAATACATCATTCACATAAACCTACTTAGCAGTTTTAAATGTATAATATCCAGACAGACAAACTAACAGAACAACAGATATGATCTCCTTTATCTGAACCTGTATTTTGCACTTTGTATGAAGTATGTGTAAAAAGGTAAAACAGAAACTACCACCTTACAATCCAGTGTCTAATGGGAGGCTTACTTTTCAACCCATTCTGTGTAATAAATGCCTCTACAATGAAATAGGATAGAGCAAGTCAAAATGCAATAAGAATGAAAAGAAAACAGAGCAAGGTCTTAGGAACAGTATGAAAACAATTGAATCATGCTTTTTTCCAGCTTTTTTTCCAAAAATTATTAAACTTCCAAAGAAATGCCACTGACAGGAAAAGTAAGAATTAATTCTGCTCCCACAGCACAAATATTAAACATTTATGTTAAATTCAACTGTGCACAGTGCAGAAATTATAATCTGGTGATTTCAAAGGGCTCCCACTCATCTGTTTTAAGCAATCATAAATAATACGTACGAAGAACACCACAGATAATTTTTATGTTTTCCAAAATGTAAAATGTGTTCCTTAAAAATTCTTACATCCTCATTAATCTATCAACTGAGACAACATTTATCAGCCATATGCATTTATTAATGCTGATTCTGGAATTGAACTATTCGTAAAGAGCCAGGAGAATCCAGTTAACAGAGTGACTGCCTAAGGCCAAATAACAATATGCCAGATTTCTGACAAGGGCCAAGTTTTTCTCTTCTTCAAATTGCGCAGATCAGCTCTGGCCCACCCGTTTTCAATCCAGTTGGCTTCTTTTCTCAAGGATCAAATGGAAGGTGAATAAAGCTGCTCAGGCTGGGGCCACATGACCGTACAAAGTACATCTGTTGCAATGGACGTACTTTTGTACGGACGTAGGTGAGGACACTACACGAGCGCAGTGTAATAGTATTGTCTGTACTTACAAATCAATTTTTGTTGTTCAGATTGTGAGTCAAAATTTTCAAATAAACTCTTGGACACCTGCACCCAAGCATTATTCTTCTTGTTCTTATCCTTGTATTCATTGTCAGCGGTATCCCACAAAACTGGATGTTGCTGTACGGCACTTATTAATGACTCAACATCCATAACTACTTGAAATATTATTAATACTATAATAATATTATATTGTTAATATTATGGAAAGGTAGAAAAGATGAAAATTGGAACAAGTGACGGACGTTGAATGAGAGCTCATCTGACCTCCCACACTCAAAGCTACACAAATCAGTGACGTCCGTAGTCATGTCTCAACATGCATGCTAGCATAAATGCGCAGATGAAAATTCAACATCCGTTGTAACGTGCGTCAACAGATGCGCGCGTGCTTCGTGTGTTGTACCCTATATGCCCCTTCATAATTCTATGATGGAAATTACGATGTGCGTTACAACGCACGTACTTTGTATGGTCGTGTGGCCCGAGCCTCACTCAATTTCATCTAATGCCAAAGTTAAGTGTGCTTGGAGCTTGACGTTCATATGCTCAGAGACAACTTTATCTTTTTCAGTGTTTACATTTTAATATCTTATGGCACCTGTGGCAGGCTTTTGTAACACAAGAATAATAAAATACCTACGTTACAAGTGAGAGCCCTGTTTCTGAGCTGTAAGAAAATGAAGTGGCAGCTCGCAGACAGTGAATTAAGAAGCTACATACCACATGCTGCTGACTATCTTCACTTACGGGTTCCTTGCCATCCATCACATCCATCCATAGTTTGCGATCATCTTCTGACAATGCTTGTAATGTGTACAGCATGCCTGGCCTGTATAGAATCGCATGATGTCAGACATTGCAATATTAGATAGAATCAAAATACATAAAAACTTGTTACATTACATACCAGCTTTTCATTTTATGAAAAGGATGCATTTCTTGAAAATTGTACAAGTGAAAATTCTTTAAAAAAAATGTATGTGTACTTATTGTATTAAAAAGTAATAATTTAAACAGTACTACTTCAAGACAAAGAGGTGTCAACTAATAAAGGAAATGATCAAGGGTAGGTAATAATTTTGAAATAATCAGGTTCAAGCACGGTGAAGCTTTGGTACACAGTAAAAAATTGTGACTGCAAAGGAACAAATAATTTTGTATTTAATGTATATATAAACAAAAATAAACTTGCATGTAACTTTAAATTTTCTCACAAAATGTCATAAATAACACACAGTGCAGATGATTTACAATGTAACAGATTTCATGAGTCATTTTAATTGGAGTATATATAATTCGAAAAAAATAAAATTATGTTAGGTCTTGCCTGTTATCAGATGTAATGTCAAAACAGAATCGTTTCTCTATAGAATCTGACATCCTCCGGGTACATGATGCTAGAATCATTGTGTCTGGTGAGGTCTGTAGAAGAAATGAGACACAAATCTGTAATGCAAGTCTGAAAGTTTAAATATGGGTAGACAAATGACAAACATTAACTCTGAAACAACCAGTCTGTTACAGACACAGTTTGAATCACTTACATGAATGCACTGATTCAGAGAGATTCCACTAGGGGATATGTGTCAGTGTTGAATGGCAATGGAGCTCAGCAAAATCGACAAGGAAAATCATTGTACTGGGAACTGTCCAGCAAAATAGCCTATGTACTAAACACATACTACACTAAGAATAAGTCTCTGTTTCTTGGTGCTTGTATACAGATTTGCACTGTGATGTGACAATTAGAGTGTTTATAAAAAAATACAAGATAATTTCATACACCACCTTTATAGCATGCATACTCTTCACAGCACTTGATATAAGAAACCTACAGGTCAATAACTGCATAGTCTTTAAATAACTCACAAATTTTCCAGTCATTTGATTGTAGGGAATCATCTTGAATTCCTTGCTATCTTTGTGGTAGATGCAATAGTGCTTCGTCCATGTTGTGCCAAACGCCTCTGCAATCAACATAAACAATTTTTTAAACAAAAAGCAATTATATGGCACAGTACAAATTAAATCCTAAATGCATTACACTTATCGCCATCAAGCCCAGTTGGCAAGAAAGTGTTAACTAATGACTTTAAGTATGAATCATAATATGAGTAGAACTTGTCCTCACACTCAAAATTATTCAGACACTGGTAATAACCAATATTTCATACAATGCAGAATAGGTATTAGCTGATAAACTTAACCTTGCAAAAGTAATGATGGAATTTAAGTACAAGATTTTCCATTTGAAATAATTTTTTATTTTCTTATAAGCACATTACAGGAGACATGAAAGACTGCATTGAATGACCAACTGAATGGGTATTACTCATACCAAACAGTTTACTGTACTTCTAATGTTATAGACTTGAATCACAAGATACTTGATACAAATCTTGGCCAATTACCAATATCGTGACCGAGTTTCTGTCGTTTTCCTCGTAGTTCAATAGCATTTGGTAATTTTATTTTGTTGAAGAAGTGTCTCATCGGAAAAAAACAGTGCAAGCTGCAATTGCTGGTGCTTGTATACAGTCAAGTTTTAATGCCAAAAGTCCTCCCTTCATACAAAAACCTAAAAGTTTCTTACACAATACTTTGACTTTCTGTTCTGCACTTCACTTACTTTTCTCCATAAGGAAAAGATAGCCCTCTCGCACATGTGACTTGTATGGACCTCCCGATTCCATGGATTTCTGCAAGAAGGAAATAGTTTAATAATTCATACATAATTTAATTGTGCTGTACCTACTGTCCAAGATATCTAATGTCTGCAAAGCATGTCAAGCAGACTGAATGAGAGTGATGTCTGCTGGGATGAAGAATAAGAGGGAGGGAGGAGAAAATACTCTGCTAAAATGTTCTAGTGCAGCTCAGGATATCACAAATTCCATGTAGGCAAGAAACCATACCTTTTTTAAAAAAACAGTGATGGGCGACAAATAAAAGGGATTTAAATCATATTATTTAATATAAGATGCTGGCATTTGTGAAGTACTAATGACTAGTTTAATTGTCTCAAGCTTTTGGTAAGGCCACATATTATTATTCTGACAAATTTAAATAAAAACATGGAACAAAAATAAGAGACATTTTGCAGACAATGTTCCCAGTAGTTAATTAAATTTGAGAAACAAACTCAGCTCAGACTGTATCAGAAGGAGTTTGACTTCTCAACCAGAACTTCATATTCATAATACACATTCCACCTTACTATCACCATTAATAATTTAAATGCAAACACAAATGCTCAATTACGTAACGTAGCCTGTTACCAGTATAAGATATCTTGGATCACTCTTAATGTCTATCCTACAAACATCATTCAAAAAGTACATGAAATATCACCAGTTCCACTTAAGTATTTACCGTTTGACGCACCTCTAGCATCTTCTTCATAAGGGACTCTGTCTTGTCGCGGGTTGCATTAAAGTTTTCTCTTGTCTGTAGCAGCAGCAACAGCGGTGTCAGCAGCATGCATTGGCAAAACACAGAATGGCTCAGCAAACACAACAAAACCAATACAGCACAACACATAGATCTAATAATTACAATGTTTTTAGTAATTTAGTGATGCATATTATCCAAACACATTTCCAAATCTAATGCAAAAGGATTCACAATTCAATAAAACAATTCTCTTTACCTCATACTGTTCTGTAAGTGCCACTCAAAAGGAGAAAGATTAGTATCATGATGTGTTAAAATTGTACAAATGCTTCTGGAGATACATCATTAGAATTAGAATTTAATCACAAAGTATTGCACAAAGATTAGTGTAATACCAAGAAATCATAGGATTTTGCATTTTCAGTATGTTCAAGTCAAAAGTTATAGTATATTTTTTCTTGCAGTGTCAGATGATTTCTTTGTAAACAGTTACAATTTCCTTTTAACAAAAGCTATATTTCTTTGTAAACAGTTACAATTTCCTCTTATCAAAAGCTGTAAAAAGCAATGAACAACCAACAGGATCCCAAATGATACATGAACTATGAACTTGAAAATTCTGAGCAACTACAGACCATTTAAAAACTGCTTCCACGTCTTCATTTGCCCAGAAATGCAGTCACTGCCTTTCCCTGTATCGATTATATTGTTCATACTACAATATATTTTATGAAATCTAAAAGTCCAATACTATGTTCATTAAAACCTGCTACTGGTCCCTATCCCAAGTCCGATGAGCCCAGACCACATTCTCAGATTCTTTGATTTTAAGATCTATTTTAATATTATATCCCATCTATGCATATACTCTGAAGAAGTCTCATCCCTTCAGACTCTCCATTGTACTGTATGCATTTTGCACCTCATCTTCATGTCTCATTATCCATAACAATATTTGGAGAAAGGATAGCTCAGTCAATATAGTAACTAGCTACGTGCTGGACGACTGAGGTTCGATCCCGATGTGGGGCAGAGGATTTTTCGTCTAGCCTCTGCATCAAATCCAGCTCTGGGGCCCACCCAGCCTCCTATTCAATGGCTACCAGGGTCCTTTCCCGGGGGTAACGCACGACTGGAATGTGATGCTGACGACTCACTCCCATCTAGTGCCGAGGTCAAGAATGAGTAGAAGCTATACCTCCTCTCCCCACAAGTGACCCACATGGCATGTAGCGGGATGGCTTTACTTTTTTACTATCCATTCTAAACCCCAGAGATATTCTTGTTCTTCAGACTGTGCCAATCAAATGTTACATTTCATTACCTAATTTATAAATCATGCTAAATACTACTTCTCACTCCACTCTTTAGCACACACTAAACAGAACATTTGCCTGTAAACCATTACCTTTTGGATCTTGAACTGAAGTTCCCGCATGTATGGCTTGAACTCGTTGGCTACTTCATGGCCCTGGTGGTAGAAGGTGAGCCAACCATACATAAATCCCAGGAGCTAGGACATAAACACACAGTTCAATGCTCGCATGCTCTGCTCTCATACAACTATAATTTATTAGTATGAATTTTTAAATTATGCTCAAAGAAATTTATGAATAGTAGGTAACGGACGAACTGCATTTTTGTCACACCTATTTGTTCAGTGTTGAAGTTGGAACATGTGTGTAAGAAAGTTCATGATGTGTATTTCGGAGCCTCAAAATTGACAGTTATAATTGTTTTGCTTCAAAACTCAGATAAAATAAATAAAAATAATTTTTCAATATATCTGCATATATATCTCATAAGCAGGAGAAATGAAGGCAGATTTAAAGGGGTTATACAATGTAAGATACCGTAACTATTCAGTCAGCACCACACCAACTACGTCAGATTGTAGTCTACAATGTGTCATTTAGGTGACTTTCATGAGCTGCTTGCTGTTGGTCACTGGCTTAAGGAAGGGAATTGTAAAAGTTGGGTGCAACAACAGAAGCCATCATCCCTCATTCTCTCACAACTGGATGTTCAGTTTCCACTGCACCTTGTCTGGGGGAGATCTCCCAAATAGAAAACACTTATGTAGGGAACATAGAATTACATAAAATGAGTAACTTACATGTGAATTAGGTGAAAACAATAATGAAAGAAACAAATCATATACAATGAAAACTTTACATAAAAATGAAACGGGAAACTACAGCGGAATGTGTTTATATCAAAACCCAAAGGGACAGGAAGGGGTCAAACACCAAATTAGACTTCATTCTCAAATACAGAATTTAGTCACATTTGTGATTCATGTTTACGACAAAACATAAAATGCTGCTACAGGATGATGGTCATATCATTTTACAAATCATACCTCATTAAGCCTTCCATCAGCTTTGCAAAAGAAACATGTAAGAAAATTGGTTTCAGTTTTCAACAGACTTTTTGTTTTTGTTAAAATGTATGTTTAATGATAAAATAATAAAAATAATACACCAATGTGTTCTGAAACAAAAATAATTATGTGCATACTGTGGAAATGCAGCTGTAAACATGAGAAATGGCCACGAGAATAGAGAATTAATTGGACAGTATTGAGTTTAGAAATTAAGATTAAATATTAATCATATGTAGGCCTATGGTTACAGACATTAAACAGCCTGGAGATAAGTACTGAAAACTAAGAACTAATTTTCTTTACTATCATAAATCATTTATTTCCAATTCTATTTTTACAAACCTGTAATGGATATTATCATATTTATCTATATGTAATGACTCTTTTCTTACTCCATGTATTTCCAGAAAAAATTACTACGCAATATGGTAAAATACCTTTCATAAATTAATATGCTGTTAAGTTTTCAAGAGGTATCTGGAAGATAATAAATAATCGTTATAGTTCCACTATGAGTAAATTTTCTAATCCCCAATATGGAGTATCAAACCATTTCAATGTATTAAAAAATAAATGTAACTCAAACTCATTGAGTAAAAGGAATTTCTGCACATTATAACACTTACAGTTTCAACAAATTCAAACTTCTTCCTTTCTTGCACCTCCTGCAGCAGGAAGACATATTCGAGGCTGGCACGGACAAAATGGCGCTGCTCCATTATGAGTGTTGCATCTGCCTGTAAGGCAATAATAAAAACTTACGGTACTTCACACAAATGTTCAACTATATGCATAGCTTCAGAGATGTTCAGTACATATGCAAAGAAGCAGAAAGTTAATTATTTGAGTAGCAAATTAACTTCTTCGACATTAGAAATTTGTGTGCCATTAACTCTGAATCAAATTGACACAAATACAAGAACTTTGGTTCTGTACCACAGATTATATCCATTGACATTCAATGATTTTTATTTGTGCTAAGCCCCTATCTGTTCAAATACTTCTTCGATTCTAGTGCTGTGTTATGACTTCTACATAAATCACTTTATATTCTCATAATAAATCAGTTTTGAAATTTGCTATATACTTCTTGTACTCCATTTTTATTCAAATTACTTTCCAGTTCGTACTCTCATTCCCGTTTTCTTATAACTTTTATACACTACTTTGAAGAAGCAATGTTCCTCAGAAACACAAGAAAGACTTCTGCTTCGTATTCAGGAGGCACTGCTTTCAAACCTCTACCCAGAGACCGGTTATCTTTACTGAGGTTCATCGTGTTTGACAAGCATAAGACTTCTGCTTCGTATTCAGGAGGCAATGCTTTCGAACCTCTACCCAGAGACAGGTTATCTTGACTGTGGTTCTTCGTGTTTGACAAGCAGAAATTACCGGAAGCAAACATGTTTCACCATATCGAATAGCAACCTCGAATCAATGGCATTACTCAAGTTGTTCTGAGAATGTCATATGATGGACGGAAAACACAATTACAAGTTACCGATATATAAACACGTATAAATCAGAATATACGTTTACGTCGTCATAGCAACCCATTTGTGTCTTATCATCTGTGAATATCGTCGTAAATGTAGTAACCAATATTACATTACTTAAAACTACGATGTCTTTGCATATAATTCATATCACGTTGAAACTGTTATTGGGGATATATTTCAGCTCTCATCATGTAAAGTACGAAACTTATTACGTCTTTTCTTACATCCTCTGCCAACTGGCGAGAAAAGTATGAAAACGGTGTTTAAATTTCCCACTGGTGCATGAATGCACGACACATGTTGCAAACAGAATCAATTTACGTTTTAATGCTGACGTAACGAACGTGCATGAATGCACGACACATGTTGCAAATAGAATCCATTTACGCTTTAATGCTGACGTAACGAACATTCATCATTATCTGAACTACGTCACTTCCCTCTGTAGAACAGACAGGGTCACATCGTGTACATTTCGTAACCTCTTACACGACAAGCGACGTCACAACCCAGAAGTCCCAGCCCATAAACCTTCAAGAGGTCCTCCGACCAAAATTCTGTACACTATCGTAAAAATATCAGACGAGAATCTATTACAAAAACGACTGGATACTCTGGGCTAATCATTATTTTCACGTAAAGAAAATGTCTTAATCCCGTTACCTACCATTTCCGACTTCGCTGACGTCATAGGAAACTACCATTACGATTCGGTCTTCAAGTACGAACTACTTGTGACACCAGACACGAGCAGTTGTTCACATCTCAGAAAAGCACAAGGCAATGATGCATACAAAACGAATTGTTTTCTTCTGGACCTCTCGGAGATGCGACCCAGAGGTCTAATTAAGATATCATTTCTCATAGACTGTATAAGAGAAACGTAAAATGAGCGAAGGGAAAAGCATTTCCCAATAACACAGAACGCAAAAAGGTGTATTACAAATTAGCTGAGTAACACTGTCCAATGAAAAAGAAAATGTCTCAGATTAAAAAAAAATGTATCAGTTACATGAACAGGAAACTCATGTTCGTTAAAAATTATTCAGAAATAGGTCACTAAGAAATACCACGACCACAGCGATACAACTTTGATACTTGGAGTTCATTAATCGATTCCACTAGACACTCTACAGTATCGTATCACCCAGGCACGTCTTCAACGATATGGCACTTAAAATATCCTGACAGATGTAAGACACGAACCACACGTAACAACCACGGTACGAACAACACTGTCGCAAATACTTCATCAGAAGGTATGGACAAATGAATGAGAAACGTCTGTTTGCATTTATAAGATGGCTGGCAGCCTGGAGAAGGGGTGGCGGACACGGTTCGCGCACTCTCCCACGTGGTAGCGTCAGGATCAATAAGTACACGCACTAACATCAGGCAAAGAACAGATGGATGTGGGTGGGGGGTATACATTCCGCAGAAGTCACGCTCTCCGTTGCAAAAATTGCAGAATTCCATGGGGCAGAGTCCTTGAGAAGCTAACAGTCGCTCAACTCGTTCTTACGGAAACCGACAATTAACAAACGTGTTTTCAAGAACCCGTCACTGGGACCCTATTATGAGCTAAATGAACCTAATTGATGGTGTCATATCCCACCTATTTTAACATACGTTTTAATATTGCCGTCTTATGTATGCGAAGGACTCCAAACAGGTATCTGCCGTTCAGAATTCCCGACTAAAATTCTGAGCTCATTTATCATCTCATCATCTTCGGTGTGGTGACCTTAATGATATCGGGTAAAGAGTATAGATTATGAAGCTCCTCATGACACAATTTCCTCCTGTCACTTACTCCATTTTAGGTCCAAATGTCCTGTTCCCAAATACGCTGAATCGAAAATTCTTTCCTTAGGATAACAGTCTAAGTTTCACACCCGTACAAAACAGAAGACAAGGATTTTAAGCTGAATGATAACCTACATTTCCTGAATGTCCGCTTAATTTCATGACCTTAAATTCGATATACGTATTTGAAGCCCTGTAGAACGCTGGCCTTGTAATCCTGGGGTCTCGGGTTCGATTCCCGAATTTATAACTTGTGTTGGGCAAGGCCGTGGTCTAGGCAACACGGAGTTTTCCTCCGGGGGCTTCCCCGGTTTCTCCGTGGCATCCCAACAATTACTCCATTCACACACAGAAGAAGGCAATGGCAAACCACTTCTGGATCATCTGCCAAGAACGTATATGAACAGGTCCCAGTCCGAGAAAAGGATGGAAGGATCCTGTTCATATGGACCTGTCGTCAGACAGAACACTAAATAATAATAAAATAAATTAACGAACTGTCAGTAGATAACAAACACGAAACAATAATTATCGTAATCTGAGCCAAAATTGGAGGGTGTCAACAAATTTTAATAATTATACCCAACACACAATTTCATTAAAACACTTCTGTGCTTCTCCATTTGTTACAAACGGTTTGACGGAAGGACCGACAAACACGGCATTTCTGCAGCTTCGCGACTAAAGCACACGACTAATTATAAAACACACCCAGCGACGAGCGGTAATGAGACACTACGCCATGCAGAGAGGAATGTGGGGGAGACCACAAAGGGCCTGTGGGGTGCCAACTTCAATTAAAACGTGGGGACAGGGGAAACCGGTGGACAGGAAAATGAATGGACGTGCAGCAGTCAGGGAAACAAATTCTGCACACACCAGATAACCCTCTATTCATCCAAAAACGGTCTATTTCGAAGTAAAGACTTACACACAAAAGTATTAGTCGGATGTCTATCGGATTCAGTTAAAGTTTAAATGACACGATCACAGTTCTGAATAATTTAGGTTTTATCAGCCAGCACCACGCGAGACAACTTATTAAAAACGTTTTAATGGGCATATCAAGTCAGTCTGTAGCGTTGTCCAACACCAGAATGGCTTCAAATAGCGTGGTCAAACTGGCTCTAGCTCACATGTAATTATTCGTTAATCCACTACCAGTTACTATAAACTCATTCATTTTCTCCACGTCAAAAGATTTAAAAAATCGTGAATCTTATCGAATCTCGGCCAAGTCTGAGCTTTTCTTTTTGTGATTTCCTTAATCTTCGCAAAAAAAGTCGTTCAAGTGGCCACTCCCATCTCATATCAAATTCTTACTATCTACAGTCAACATACAACGGGAACTTTAATGCAGTTTACTGATATTTAACACAGCTGGAAATCTGAATGAAATTACCACCGCAAAATGGGAGTAATAACGTTTTGACTCCGTGCGGACTCGTAATACGTTTAAACTTTTCTGAGGAATATGCCGCCTCCATCTTCAGATCGTCCACCTCCGCGATAACCTCAAACATCACAAAAAAAGGTGAACATTGTGTTCAAGGTACTATAAAATGCATCTCTCTTCGCGGCTATCATGCGAACAGTGTGCTGATTTAACAAAGAGAAAGTTTGAAATACAAACCGGAAGTTGAGGAACTGATGAAGCCTATCGATAGAAATGCTTCCCTGACGTTATTCAAATACTAAACCCAAAAGTTACAGTAACTAACTCCTTATCTATGACGTGGTTTGTTAGACACGTGCAGTCTGTCAGAAACAGCTGCATTCAACTGCAACACTACCATCGCAATGTTTGAAACTATCGGTGATTGCGTATTTATTATAACGTAGTACATGGTCTCTCACTCAGAGGGAGGAACACAGATTGCAGGTGTTTGAGAATCGGGTGTTGAGGAGGATATTTGGGCCTAAGAGGGAAGACGATGGGGCGTGGAGAAAACTGCATAATGATGAGCTTAAAAATCTGTACTCCTCCCCCAGTATTGTGAGGGTGATTAAGTCGAGAAGAGTGAGATGGGCGGGACATGTAGCGCGCATGGATGGGACAAGAGGTGTGCACCGGGTACTGGTTGGGAAACCTGAAGGGAAGAGACCGCTGGGGAGACCTAGACGTAGATGGGAGGATAATCTCAGGCGGGATCTATGGGAGGTAGGAGTTGAAGGAAACTGGATTTTGTTGGCCCAGGACAGGGTCCGGTGGAGGGCTTTGGTTAATTCGGTGATGAACCTTCGGGATCGGTAAGCCATCTAGTTAGTTAGTTAGTAGAGGAGGAATTTCTGAAGCAATAAATGCTTAACTTCGTGAGCATTAATATCACAAAAGTTTTCACCACGATATTAAAATGCACAGTCACCTGTGAATAAAGTTAAAAACGCATTTTAGGGACTTGAATTAAATTTTACATAAACATCGCCTTGATGATGAAGGCAGTAAGCATCTCTGAAACGTCTGTAAAATTTCTACCAGACTATACGCCGCCAGTATCGAAGAAGACAGTCACATTTACAAAATCCGCGGTTTCGACACACTACCTTTGCTCAGGATTCGAAACGTGTACTTCTAGAATGAGAGTCAGACACGTTACCGCCGAGTAAACTCGATCGATAAGTAGCTAAGTGGGGCACACAGAAGAAACCCTTTCACAATGCATTTCCTCTTACAACCGACAAAGCAAGAAAAGAAAAATAATTATTCTTGTGCAAAATTTGACATAAAATGGTTTATGGATTCATATAAATGTCGAATCCTACGATAAGATGTGCAAAAACTAATTACCACAACATATTATTAAGTTTAGTTATTTTATTTACATATTTCTTATTATTGAGAATCTGGAGTGTGTGTGTATAAATATGTGTTGGTTAAAAATCTCACGACTGTAAATTATTTAAAAAAATCTAACACGTCAGGTGCACTGGGTTATGACTGTGCACTGTAATATGACGTAAAACTTCTCATTATCTGTAACGTAACTGCGTTACATAAGACGCCAACCTTTCTGATTAAACTGAAATTGTTGTAATAAACCCTCAATGGCTGATAAGTAATCTTCTGAAGAAATTATAAGAATAATTTTGCTTTTGTTTAAATTCACGTTACTATTTAAACAAAATTGTTAAAACTTTCCAACGCTGTCACTAAATATTTCGGTATAATGAAGCTAATTTTACTTATTTTTGTTGGCGGAAAACAACCAGAAATACCATAACTGATTATCATATGGATACTAACTAAACCAACAGGATGACTCAAAATAAACTTCTAGACATAAAGGCGTGGCCATATCTCATAAAGTAAATTCTAGCAAAGTACAACGTAGTTGAGTGAACAAATTCCCGCACATCACGGTCTACATGCGTTGGGCCCTACGTCACAATTGCAATCTGTTGTAATTATCGTGTCTACGAAGACAAGCAGGCATTATCTACTCCAGGCTAATGGTGTCAAGGAAGACAGATTAAGAGCGAGCTGTCGTCCAAGTTCTGTTCTAATTCTGAGGCTTGCCTTGAGTTCGATTTCTAGAGCCGTGCCAGAGCGGCAACTTCTCCGACATGTACGCGAGACAGGTAGTATACAACGGTTCTTTATATGTTTTTTTTAAAATGGTCGAGTCTCCACATCACAGTTACGTTCAGAGACTGTCTCAGGCAGGGATTCTCAACCTCTGCAAGACTCACGGCCACATTCGCCTTCGTCATCAACTTACCCACCACAAGGATTATAAATAAAAACAAATTATCGAAACGCCATGGCAATTTTTAAAATTATACTAAATTATGTCTCGTCCTGCTGCAAATTGGTTCTCATGTAACTCAATATTAAAGATGGCTGTCTTCTGGGTTGTAGCGCCGTGCAGTCTCGTACAAGTAGACGGCGTTACAACCCAGAAGACATCCTCACATTAAATCCCACTAATTCAATGCAGTTTTTCTTTAAGGAAATCGATCACTTGTGAGACATTTTCCATCGGTTTTTGCTTGAGCAATCTTTCAATGTCAGATTTAATTTTTGTTATGGTGATTTCCATGCATCCCTCCAGTAAGATGCGTGTTAGATCTTAATTTGACGTTTTATCAAGCTAAACAGTTGCTGCCAGCGATATTTCCTGCCAAATACTGACGGAATTCATAAACCCAGTCATCTGAAACCATGTGAATATTCATCATACAGTTACAAAATATTACAATTTACCAGGACCGCGCGAAAGACATCGGCGAGAAGCGGGATAAGAACCCTGGTCTACAGATTTTTCTTTTCCCCGAAGTCATGTTTTTTGATATTCAACTGCTTTGGGGATGTATTTTATGTTCGACCTTTCACACTAACGTCAGATTATTTTTCTCTGCGAGTTTAATAACGCATTCTTCACCTTTTGACTTAAATTAGATATCGACCGTCTAGCGATGCTGTAAATATTTCTGACAATCGCTCATTCATTACATCACAATTACGTTTGACACTATCAGCTTTCTGAGGTACATTTGATACACACGTCGGCATGAAAATATACCGAAATCAATACAGCAGACAATGAACGATATCATAATAGTAATGCAGATACCAAGCTGATATAAAAAGAGGAATGTACAACGCAAATAACATCAGAAGTAAAAAGGACAACAGGAAACTCTTTCGTACACTCAAGACCGTACACTGTACCACCAAAGGCGTTCTTTACAAATGCTATTAAAAATGACAATTTACGATCGAAGACTTAGATATTATTTTCGGATTAATCTCGTAATATACCCTGCCTAGCCTTGGAAATGCGAGATACTTCAAAAAATAAATTGTTTCTGTGGTTTTTAGTATATTGGAGTCCCAGAATACCAGTTTTCTGTGCAAGTTAGGTCACCGTAACAACCAACAGCTTTCACTTCCGCGCGTACTTCGACGCTGAAAAAAAAATCCGAATTCTCAAGAGTCAGTTACGAAGCGACAAACTTTGTGAATACAAGTACCAAATGTCTGCACGTACCTCTTTGAGAACAGCATCCTGTTTCTTGGTGGAGAGATTCAGATAGCGTTCTTGACTCATACAGAACTTGGCCGTCTGCTTCTCAAACTTTTTCTTGCCTTCCTGCATACAAGAGAACAGTCTCTTAAAATTAATTCACTCAAAAAAGAACTCTTCGGCGTTAGAGCGTGCATTCTCTTGCAGAGCATTAGAACCCAACCGAAACATACAAGTCACATGCAGAAACACTCGTGGAAGTTCCGGGACAATCTTCGTACGTGTCTGCCGATCTCGTAGCAGCAGCAAGTTAGGAAATTACTTTAATAGGCACTCCGCAACTAGCAGGCCATCTTCTATGTACTACAGGATGATTCAAAAGTCCTCGTACACAGGGAAATCACGTAAATGCAACTGGGCGCAAAACACCAGATGTGTTAACGCGAGTTCACCATGAGTGGGACAGACGCATCTTTTTATTTAAAGGAATGGCAACCATGTAGAGCATGTTTTGTGAAAAAGTGACCATTTTCCCTGTGTATGGAGACTTTTGAATCACCCTGTAGAATGTTGCACTGAGCAGTCTGGCGGATATTGACCGCCATTTCGAGGAACATTCTGCATACATTTCAGAGCTGAAGACTGAATACGTCTGTGATCAATCATCGCACAGTATTTTATATCTGCCTCCATTGTTAATCTGTCATCAAATTTAAAACCAAAAATGGATTTCAAGGAACGGCATGTTATTTGGCATTATAAAAAAACCCTCCACATTCAGGGCTGAAAAACTTAAGAGTTTCAGCCCTGAAGATGGAAGCAATAAGTTTATCCGAAACACTGGTCGATATCTACCACACTATACGGTGATGTACCACAGAAAATAGCCATCTTGTCCAAAACAGTCAGTGCGAAAGTTCAAACTGACCTTCACTCCACCGATGTGTTCTTTGCGGAAGTTCTCCAATGGAAGAATAATCTGGTCATATGCACGGTCCAGCTGCAGAAGAAACAAATCATCAGTCAGAACAGAAAGATAACACGGATGTAGAACAGTGAGCACAAAAGAATCTGGAGCAGGAACGATAATTGATTACTGAAATCTCTTGCACACCACAGCAATGAATTTGTGTCGAAGAGCATGAAGGTGGTAAGTCTGGTATAAGTTTACCGACGTCTCAGAGTAATCTGCCTATTCCATCATCAGGGCGACGAGTCAGGAGGTGGGCAAGGACCTCTGAAACGTTCTTAAACTTCTACGAGACTACTTTGGAACAGTAGCTCACAAGTAGCGTGCTCTGTAGTGTGGTAATAATGCGAACATGACAACTTCAAATGTTGAACATAATTTTCATCTGATTATACAAACCTGCTCGGGTTCTGGCAGTGAAAACAGACAACAGACCTTGGGAACAGGTGGTTTTCCATCCCTGTTACATGACTGTGACCAAAGGATTACATAACGCGGATACTGTGAGCCGGAGCCCAAGGTTGCAGTCGATCGCTGTGGGCCCCCGCCACTTCCTCCTCACGATCGCCCCTGCAGGTCCGTTCCGCACGTGGTCAAATTTAGCCGCACCAGAAGATAGGTTTCGATCAGGGGATTCTGAAAAGACGGATTCAGGGGATTCTGACAAGACGGATTCGACGCCCTCAGGACACTTTTGTGTGCTTTTTACCGATGGACAAAGCGAAGTCACCACATGTTTTCAAGAAGAATACCACATGAGATGACTGACTGTCTTCCAGTATGTTGCACCGTGTAGTTTGGGAGATATTAACCGACGTTTCAGAGGATCTTGCTGGCTCAGGAAAGGATCTAATGGCGGACTCTTGTCAACTCGGTACCTAATATTCGAGTTACACCAAAGAGGGCAGTTCCTGACCAGCCGAGTGCCTACCACCTTGTCAGCTCAGGTCTTCCATGCGATATTTCCTTCAGGATTTTCACCCCAAATGTTGTATTTCTCCCACTGCGTGCAAAATGAAACGCTCATGTCCGCCACTGTTAAATTCTTGTTACGAGCACAAATTACGAAGGCATATCATTCTCCATTCCCTTCCTCTATCTTTGATCCAAATATTATCTTTCCTTCCCTGTTCTCAAACACCCTTATCTACTGTCAATGTTGGTCTTCTGGTGACGGCGTGTGGACTTGTTGGCAGATACCAACGATTAAGAGCAACACACTGCCTCCATCCTCCGGGGTTAGCCTTCTGGGTTGTGAATATTCAGCCCCGAAGATGGGAGTCAGTAAGTTCACACGGCGTTACAACCGAGAATACCAGCACTGACATATTCAGAGACGTAAGAACTTCAAATTCATTAATCGGTTCTTCCTTTGACGTGAGACACCAATTTCACCAATCTTACCGTTTATAATTTTATATTACATCTCAGAAAGCTGAGAGGATATTAGAGAAACTGATGACACCATTACACACGACAACTTTCACAAACGGATGACTTGAAAAATACCGCAAGCAGGTTGGGATCACTGTAGCCAGAAGCAGGATTAATAGGCCCAAAGGAAATCAGGCTCTCCATAAGAAGATCAAAGTGCTTGGGGTGAGACAGGGTTTCTACAGTCCACAGCAGGGGAGCCATCTCCAGAGTCAAAAGGCGGCCAAAACCCACACTGGGTTGCAGAGCCACAGGAAGGAGAAGATTTTTCAACGGTACTAAGTAAAATGGATTTCATACTTTGATTTCCTTACCACTTATTAATGTAGTGAATATTAAAAGAACATTCCTCATGGACGACGCTACGTTCTTACGCTGTGGGCTATTATCAGAGGTTTGACGTCATTTGTGTAAAGTTCTGTTGCAGAACTAACAACAAAGGTGTTAAATGAATGGGGAGAGGATGCGGCCATGACTTATTTTAAGGTACCATCATAATACTAACCTTGACAGTATTGCTGAACATATCATTGTAACAACGGTCTACACGAAATGAAGGGGGCGTCGTGATAGGACAGGTTTTGTTTGAGACACGCACACAGCCGATCCAATTGACCGGCGAAACAAATACCGAAGTATTCAACCTGTAGCGAGCAGATCTCGAGAGAGATGTTTAGGAATTTTCACATTTCTGTACGCACGGTAAGATTTGAGGTTTTCGCAGCAACTTAGGCCGAAGTTTATATACATCACGTACAAATATTCAGTTCTTACCGCAAAGAAAACACAACACTTCTCCGTTACAAAGATCATTTAGTTAATGATTTTAAAGAAATAATGCCTGTTTACATTGAGAACGATACGAAACCCATATATTCAAAATAAAGAGAGTAATTACTTAAGCAGGTGGTACATATAGTTACCACTGGAATTTAAAGGCTAGTTTATTTTTTTAAAGTCAGTTAGTTAGGAAGACAAATTATCCAGAACTGAGGGGTAACAAGTTGTCCTCGAATTGAATTTGTTCTTAATTTCTTTATGAATTCAATTTTGATTACACACAAATTACACATTTGAATTTGCTGTCGTATTTTTTAGTGGACTGTATTCACTAAAGCCAACGAAGATTATGTCACCAGATTAACATCGCTCTACTTGGCAGAAAGACAATGTTGTACGATGACACTATGGCAATAGAACATCATGACAGGAATATTGAATACATTCCTACAAGCGCCTGAAATAAAGGCAGAGATATTAGTATGTCCCATTGTATCTCGCACTAGAACAGGTATGCGCAGAATTCGAACACGGAACGTGAGTAGAGTCTCATAAAAGTTCGCTTCATAGTGCATCTCAGTAGCCATAATTATTCTCCGACTGCAAGCATCCGCACACGTACAATAACTCGATTTACAGCAGATAAAAATGACTGTGACCTCACAATTTCTGCGTCACTGTTTCCTTTCCGTGAGGTTCCTAGTTCAAATCTCGACCGGGGTACTGGCTATTCCCAAAAAAAGGTTTTTCGTGACCATCCGCGTCCAGATAAATTATGGGATAGTTCCTTAAATGAGGCCAAGATCGCCTCCTTCCACATTCCTTTTTTACAATTCATTAATCATCGCGATGCTACATAGCCCGAGCTAAAAAATAAAGTTTAAATAAATAATAAAATCACGCAACCCCATTGTAATAAGTTTTTAGACACTTGTATTTTCATTAGATTATAATCTGAAATTCATTTTCAACGTTTAAAAATTCGGCCTTGTGGCCTGCTTTATTTCAGGGTTCTTTCAACAAATGGTCAGCCCAACACAAGGCCCCTGCATACTCAGGACAGAATAACGCACATCGACGAAGACAAACATCCACGCCTTGGGCAAGATTCGAACCCGGGATCCCAGATTGCTAAGCCAATGAGAACACGCCCTAAACTTAAAACTGGAAATTGTACAATGAACTGTATGCAGCACGTAGCAGCCACACAAGCGACCCACTTTGTCAAATGCTGAGATAGTGCAGTAACACAGGCAATGCGATTCAATTGGAAAACGAGTTACACTCCTCCACACAGCAAAAGTAGTTATATTCAGCGATGATGAATCGACGCAAGTTAAAGCCAGACAACACAACAGGCTTTTTGTTCGTTCTTCAGTCGAATTTGTACGGCCACTTTCAAAGTTGTGCCCCACTTCGAAGCAAACAGACTTTCCAAAAGCGTTCCTTTTAATTTCACATATACAATGCATCGCCTCTGTCAACTTTAATATAAATAAATCCATATATACGCCAGTGCTTTCCAAACGTGGGACAAATTCGATAGCAAAAACTAGTGACGAAAACCGACCTCTCCCAAATAACGATTTTTCCAAAGGTTCGTGGTAACGGCTGACTTAATGCATGAACCCAAAATGCCCAGTGCCTGAAGTACTTTTTACACACGACGTTTAGAAAGCTTGTTATTAGGACGATGAGACAGACAACATTCATGATAATGACGACTTAAGATATTTCCCAATCGACATTCGGGCTAGGTACCTTCGGAATACAAGCAGTGCACGGCAATGGTGGCGAGAAGACTTAAAATCGGAATGAATGCCCCCAAAATGCGATCCACGTACCTTCCGAAATTCAGACACACACTCAACGTCTTCAACCGACGCCACATTACAGCTACTAACAAACTGTACACAGCCAATTTCTTCCTGAGGAACTAGCACTCCCTCGGCTAGTCAAGAGGTTTCTCACATCTTATTAAAGGTCGTTTTATTATTATCCTCCCATTTTCACTTAGGTTTCCCAAATTATCTTTTCTTTTCAGGTTTTCCTAATACATCGAAATTAAGGAAAACTGCTAGAACACTACGTTTCAATGTAAAGACAGTCTAATTAAGGATGAAGACGTCGGGGGTGTGAAGATACAGCTCCACGGCACGAGATGGTATGTGAGGGGGTTTGCTTCGCGCTCCGGCCGCTAAAGCCCGGAGCATAGAGCGCCTGGAGGCTGATACATAAAAGCTTTTCAATCGATGCAGCTTGAGAAACGAGTTACTTCATTCTGATCAGACGTCCTGCGCAGAACTTCATCGACAGGACACACGATCTGCGCCGGAAACTACTTGCTGCGGTTTTCTGCAAGACACCCGACACCTCAGCAAAACTGATACTTCGTTTTACGCCGGGGTCAATTTCGGCGCCACTCGATTCCTCCTTGTCCTCGCTCGAAGTCTTATAAATAATAACAGACTTCAAATAGATAATACCTTTTCTACGTTCGAAATTGCTCACTGTCAGGTATATTTAATAAACAAGACGACGTTTCGGGAGCTGGTTTTACTTCCAAATTTAGCGAACATTTGTCATAATAAATTTTTATTAATCTGTTGTTTTAAGATCAGTGGAGACAGTAGGAATCAATCTCGAACAAATCTGAATATTAGTTTATTTCCCCAAATAACTAGACCACTGTGGTGGTCCCTTCTTTATTTTAAGACTACAAGATACATTTCTTATCAACCTTCATACCCGAAGTCTTATCATAAATATTTCCTTCTCTTCTTTCCCGTAAATGACCAACCTCCCGGCATCCGAAATCATAACAAACCACAGCCGATCATTAAACCAAAAAACCACACTGGTAAAGAATTTTCCAACCGGGTGATCATACAACATATCCTCAAAATTATGAAATGCAAAACTGAATAATCCAGTGTAATCTGACGTATTGCTAGCATAATAAAATTCTGCCAACTAAACACTTATTAAATCCTCACGAGACGTCAGCAATGGAGCCAGCGTCCAATCGGAGTAGAGAACGGTTAGCAGACCTCGTTCCCCTACGCTTCGCCTACCCGAATGTGAATCCCAACTCAGTCATCGCCGAAAACGACCTTCTGACCTATATCCCAACTGCACTGGAACTCTTCGTCGACGTGGGTTATATAATTCTACACAAATACAAAACGAAGGCATCTGGGCAACTACGCCTGCTTTGGTAAAATGAAAAGGTATGATCGCAGGTGACAAGACACGAGAATGCGTAATCCGGGCAAGAACACGCACATGCAGACATTTTTGTTTTTGGGCTAAGACGCAAAATCATCGCTTGCTGAAGAATCAGTATTTCCAGTTCGTTCCACATTTTTTCAAGATGTTCATCATTTCACCTAGTTCCCTCGGGTGGAGTCCAGCTCAGATGCCCAGTGACCTGACAACTTTACACTTGCTTTATCCTTCTGGAACTCGCCTTCTTGCTTCCAAAACTTTCTCCGTAAGCACAAGCTTTATTTCCGTGACATTCTCACGTTTTTACAATAAACAGGAATAAGGAACTTCACATAATTTAGGGCCTACGTACTGCTTACTGTCCCATATTGCAAAATCGAAATTTTCTTAAGATGTCAGCCAAAAGCACGAATTACTTCTGGTTTTATTCCACCTCCTCCTCGTACTACTTATTCCTTTACTTCTGTTCCTTCCACCTTTCGCGGGTCTCGCATCTCCTTCGCTCGTTCAGAGACGTTAACAGGCCATAACTATTAAGATAATAATTGTATAAGTGCGATAGATAATTAACCGACCACCTGATGTCGAGAGATCGCGTCATCTGTAAACAGCCTTGTCAGGGATATCCACGGCTCCTAACGGACCATCTCGCCTCTCTAGGTTCATTTCCTGCATGACAAGTTCTGCGCATTAATGCCCACGGACACGGAACAAATGGAGAAAAAAATATGCGCGTTTCGACATCACGTAACTATCGCATTTACCGAGCATTCCGAGTCCTGAAATTAGAGTGTAAATTGTGCGATGCCTAAATATTTCAGAACTGACACGTTTATTAAAATCCACCCAAAACAGTTTCGAAGACGAAGTGAGGGTGCGAACAGGAGCTAGTTCATTCACTCGCACAAGCCATGACAAATAATCACGAAATTTCGACTTGCAGTTACTGTCAAGAGCGGACATTTGCCCTCAGTAAAACGGAGGAAAATAACCACCCCGCCCTACTTCGTGTTTGACAAAATTGCACGTTACAGGACAACTGAGATTAGGCACGTGCTTTTCTCTGTGACGAACAATCACACCCCGTCATGGTACTGGTAATTTTCTGCTTTATAACCCTCTAGTTCAGGGGTATTTTGTGAGGCCCGCGAGCCTTATTGTAATGTGGCGTGGCCTTGCCTTACGCGTTGCGGTAATTTTATACACTTTTTTAAAGAACGCACAAAATGCTACAACCCTGTATCGAGTAATAAACACATTCACGATTATTTTTTATATCTGCTAACTTTAACCGATTCTTAAATTACTTCACCATCTGAAGCATGCAGATCATGTAAATATTTAAAAATACAGTTTCTTATTTCAAGCCCAACGCGTGTCCATTACAGAGCTCATCTGGTTAATGCCGTCTAAGAAGGAAAGGATCTCTGTTTATTCTAAGAATCATTCCAATGCATAGTCTACATACACTCAGTGGAAAAAAAAATAGAATTAGTAAATGTTAAAGCTGTTGGTCCATTTTATTAACGCTGTGATTTAAAATGGTTAATAGAAGCCCGACGGTTTTCTGTTTACTCGGTGAGAACTCCAAGTTACTACGATGGACAATAAAGCCAAATGTCGCCATATCCCACTCATTCTTTATCGCTTAAATGGTAAATCGGAAAACCACAAAATTCAAAAACCCAGTTCTTACCGCAAAGAAAACAACGCGTCTCTATTACAAAAATTAATTAGTCAATGCTGTTTAATTTTTTTTTAAAAAAACAGCTGATTATTCTGAGAATAATACATGTACACTCTGTAGAAAAATGCACAGTGGTACGTATAGTTGCCACTGGGCTTCATAGGGTCAACTGCCTAGTCTCTCATATGTACCATCGGCAACAGACATGCGTTCAAGTTGAGAGACCCCAGTCACGAAGACGAGTGTGGCATCTGACGGCTACACATTCCATCACGTCTCTTAATGATGGACTTAACGATCCAGGGAAACCCAAACTATCTCACCTGTACACGACATAAAGCATACGTAGTTCAACAGCATACTCATTTTATACGCGTTCGTAAGAGATCCCATTAAAATCGCTCCGTCCATTCTGTATTCCAAGCATCAAACAACCCGGCAACGGACTATTAACTGATTTTAATTAAATTTAGTGTCGAGAAATTCATTTAAATCTTCATTTAAACCGGATAAATTTTAACGTCATTTAATATAAGATCACAAATACTGTTTGACCTCATTCTGTTGTCGCTAACACGCCACATAGTTCGACCATCGGTATACTAGAAATCCATCGTTGAAGCGTAAAGAATTGGAATTTCTTCGCTTTTTTCTTCTTACGTCATTAGACTAATTCATTGGATTCTGATGTAATAAATACTGTAATTAAATGTACTCTCCTATACGCCCCAGATTCAAATGCCACTTCGGTACACAACGGCTGTAGCTCCATTATTTTTTTTATTTGTAGTGTTCTGTCTGACGACAGGTCCATATGAACAGGATCCTTCCATCCTTTTCTCGGACTGGGACCTGTTCATATACGTTCTTGGCAGATGATCCAGAAGTGGTTTGACATTGC